ATACCGGGTTGGCACGCCATCGGTCGCCAGCGTGAGGCAGTCGGCGACATTCCTCGAATATATGTAAGGCAGGCGAGATGATAAATGGAAGTGAATGGGCGTCAGTTGCTGAGCTGACCGACAGCGAAAGGGCGGTATTTCGACAGATATACCAAAATTTCGACGACCGCACAAAGATGACATTCGGAGCGAGATCGACGCAGATGATAATGTATCGATCGCGGCATTGCGACGATGGGCACCGAAGCGAAATGTCGGACATGGGCACCTTTGGCATGTGCTCTCCAGCCCCGCCTGCAAAACAATCATTCCTTCCGGCATCATTCGTCTGCGGCAGTCGCGGTGGAAGGTTTCTCCAGCCCTGCCTTTACATACATCTCCTTCCGGCATCATCTGTTTGCAGCGGCCGGTCGAAGGTTTCCTCCAGCCCAGCTCTTCCATATTCCTTCCTGAAATGTCATCTTTTTTGTATGTCGGTCAGGGGTTACCTCCTGGCTCCGATTTTACATACATTCCTCCTCTCCCGGCGTTACCCGTCAGAGGCTGTCGGTCGAAGGTTCTCAAGCCCTGCCTTACATTCCTTCCGTATGCGGCGGTCGGTCGAAGGTTTCCCTCCAGCCCAGCTCTGACATACATTCCTTCCGGTATATCAATGTGCGCCGTCGAAGGTTTCTCCAGCCCTGCCTGGCATTCCTTCCGAATGTCATCTGTTTGGCGGCGGCTCTCCTCAAGCCCTGGCTCTCACATACATTCCTTCGGGTATATCATCTGTCTGCATGTCGCACAAGGCTCCAGCCCCGCTCATACATTCCTTCCGGTATAACACCCGTCCTCATGTGGTTGCCCAAGGTTTCCTCCAGCCCTGCCTGCAGAGTTCAAGGTTTCCCTCCAGCCCTGCCTACATACACATTCCTTCCGGTATATCATCTGGTTCAAGTGGTCGGGTCGAAGCTCTCCAGCCCAGCCTTACATAATGTTCCTTCCTGGATATCATCTGTCTGTGGTGGGTCGGTCGAAGGTTTCCTCCAGCCCTGCCTCACATTTCCTTCCAGTATATCATCTGTCTGTAGCAGTCGGTCGAAGTTTCTCCAGCCCTGCTCATATACATTTCCTTCCGGTATATCAATGTTTGGCGCGCGTCGGTCCAAGGTTCCTCCAGCCCTGCCTTTACATACATTCCTCCCGGTATATCATCTGTCTGCGACGGTCGGTCGAAGGTTTCCTCCAGCCCTGCCTTACTTACATTCCTCTTGGTATATCATCTGTCTGCGGTCGGTCGAAGGTTTCCTCAAGCCCTGCCTTTACATACATTCCTCTTCCGGTATATCATCTGTCTGCGGCGGTCGGTCGAAGGTTTCCTCCAGCCCTGCCTTAAGCATTCCTCCAGGTATATCATTCGGTCAGTTCAAAGGTATCCTCATCTGCCTTACATACGGCTAATCTGGTATATCATCTGTTCATGCGGTCGGTCGAAGGTTTCTCCAGCCCTGCCTTTACATACATTCCTTCCGGTATATCATCTGTCTGCGGCGGTCGGTCGAAAGGTTTCCTCCAGCCCTGCCTTACATACATTCCTCCCGGTATATCATCTGTCTCGCGGCGGTCGGTTGAAGGTTTCCTCCAGCCCTGCTCATACATTCCTCCTGGTCAATCATCATCTGTCTGCGGCGGTCGGTCGAAGGTTCTTCCACGCTGACTGTGATACCCCCGCCTCATACGCCAAGATTTTACCCAGAAGTTGTGAAACCATTAAACAAACACAGAAATAGTCGATTACGAAGTAGCAGCAATATTTAATAAGCCCAATCTGTCCCAGCAGTCGTTGGTAGATCACCATATGCGGGACCAGATGGACCTTACTGTGAACATTGTGAGAGACTAATTCAAATTCACATCGAGATATGATATGTGATGTAGAACGTGTTTCAATTGCACCAGCCTTCATTGTCATCAGAAACTAATTCCGTTTGGAGTAAAGAAGAAAAAGTAGCTTTGATTTTTAATAGATAACTGATAATAAGTGATGACACAAGATGCTAGCCAAACGGTCCTGTCCTACCGGTAGCAGGCACGTAGTGAAGAATTTACACATCAAAACGAAATATAATTAGACTATAAAAGGTTGTCAACAAAAAGCGGTCAAAGACATGCATTGCACAAAAATAATTGAAGCTGTGATGCTAACATCATAGATAAACACACATGACTATGTTTACATAATAGACTATAGACTATAGACCAACAAGAACCAAAGTTGGGCCACCATACAAAGGACCGTAGGGGCCTACAGCCTTACACAGTACAACTGTAGAGGACCATTTTACTGATTTACAGATGTTATTTCAAGATATAAATCATTAGTATTATGTTTGCAAAGACTACTTTTACCTAACTTCTGATGTAGCAGCATTACTTCTGACTCTTCAGGAATTGAGCAAGGGACAGTCGTAAGATGTTTGTTTGTTGTTTAACTCCGCACTCAGCAATATTCCAGCTATATGACGGCGGTCTGTAAATAATGGAGTCTGGACCAGACAATTAAGTGATCAACAGCATGAACATCGATCTACACAACTGGGATATGATGACATGTGCCAAAGCCACGTCAGCGAGCCTGACCTACCGATGAAGTTAGTTGTCTCTCGTATGGCAAGCATGGGTTGCTGCAAGACCAGTTCTAACCCGGATGTTGAGAGCCTCTCCATGTAGTTCGGCCCTAGAGAACGCATGATGATTGTGATGGACTAATACTACTAACACACTGACATTTACGGTATATTCCTCTTGTCATACATTAACACATTCTTCGGGATTGAACATATTGCACGTCCTATAACGTCAATCGTGCACAATTAATATAATTAAGCATAAATACTATACATCGTGTCGGGGACGCATCCTTGCAGTGAATACCCTGAACCAACAGAGATAAAGCTTCCGAGTCCCGTGCTGGGATTCGGACCACGGACATTCTAATCCGAAGTCGGACGCATTGTCCACATGTCCAAAGAGATTAACCCCGTCAGCAAGCTGACAAGGTAAGGATGTCATATGGGATGACTCCAGGCCCTGCTACATAAATATATATTTGTTTTCGTGTACCACTGACAAAATATAAAGGAAGTTATTTTTTTATCCAGCTTCCGTTGAATTGTATTTTTACAATACCCTGGTGTTGCATCTGAATCTGCATTTTTCTGACCTGCGTGAACGTGGACAGACACGTCAAACTGTGTGCTACAGGAGAAGTCATACTCACAACCACATTTGAGCTGTGTATACGCTTAGGAATACCACCGAGATGTCCCATTGGCGAATTTTCATAATTTTAATGTGGGTACGATAGAGATTGGAAGTCCATATTATACCCGAATGTTTTTGAAAATCAAAACGTGTAATTTCCCGACCGTTTGGCAAGCACCGTCCAGCATGTGGGGTCGAGGGATGTCTTAGCGACTGATTCAGGGCAGTCATTGTCCGATTCCAAAATCCAAAAACTGTGTTGGGGTCATCAACAGGAACTTCGTACAAGTACATATACATGAAGGTACATTGAAAACGGTACTGGCAAATCCCGGCTCTGCAGCCTACCTGAAAGCAAGGCGTCCAGTGTGGGTTTGACCATAAGAGCCTACTATAGGCGGCAAAGACTGGGATGGATAAGGCCATATCCGGGGGCGGGCTGCACCAATGGTATTACACCATGTTTACAGAAGAAACAGGGTTTTACCTCCGATTCACATATGTCAGAGTACATTATAAGCAGTTACATTTGTATCACCTACCCACACACAGGGGAACTGACTTCTGGTTATGTTGTCGCAATTGTATTGCGTCCTGTCGTTCCTTCGAGATAATTACAGGCAAAGAAATATAAACCGAGAAACCAAGGCAAGCAGTAAAACAACCGGCAAGCAGTTAAAACAACCGGCAAGCAGTAAAACAACCGGCGAGCAGTAAAACAACCGGCGAGCAGTAAAACAACCGGCAAGAGATCCTGCAGGTCCATCACGTACGTTGTTCGCCTTCATAGAAGGGTTTGCACGAACATGAATGAGCGTGAATACAGCTAACAAGGCCTGTGCATGATGATAAGCGGATCCAGATATCACCCACACACATCACATCACCGCCCCCTCCCCAACCCCATCTGGATCCGCCACTGATGTTGATATAATTCCCTCGACTGTCGTGTCCTATTTTATTTTATCCATTGGGACTAGTGCAGCTAATCAGGACACAGGAATGCAGGGCAATGATCACAACGAACATTAAACAGTAAGAATATCTTCACTTACTGTGAACACCTCCGAGAAGAAGAAACTTTGTACTTCAAATCAAGGTATAAAACCCCATAAAAAATTATCTAATTACATTTTTATCCGTGAAGGTCCGGATTAGAATATTGATCTTCAGTATTGTTGTAAGAGGCGACTAACAGGATCGAGGTGGGTCAGGCTCGCTGATTTGGCTGGACATATGTCATCGGTTCCCAATTGCGCAGATTCATGCTCACGTTGTTGATCACTGGATTGTGTGTGTCCAGACTCGATTATTTACAGACTGCCGCCATATAGCTGGAATATTGCTGAGTGTGGCGTAAAACTAAACTCACTCACTCACTCATTATAACATTTTTCGTTTTCGGACGTCAGTTACACGTGAACATTTAATGTGGTAATGACATTGACTAGCGTTTCCCCTGAACAGACCCTTTAGAAGGTGTGCGGGAAGTCATTAGAGTGTGCACATGAAAGAAGGTCTTGTTCAGGCAGTGTAAGATGTTCCTATAACATAAACAAGTGCCTACTTCATATTAGTATATACTTTCCGTGTTTCAGCATTCACATTAACTTAGCCGCATGTGGTGTTTGTGACATGACCTTGACCTAGTCAAGGCTACTAATGTGTGCACTTTACTTCCTGCTCTGGAGGAAGATTGGTACGTCATACTTTGTCCCCAGAAGGAAGATGAAAATATCACAAACAGCAGATCACCAGTTGCACTCATTGCTGTAACACCCGTGTGAAAGGTAGGGTTAAGATATTCCTCTGATACCCCAAACCACAAGTTGTCAATCGATACATAGCATGTTCATATCAATATTGTCAATATCAATATGTGTTTTTATTGTAATATCAACCTAGATCAACATGTATTGATATCCAGTACGTCAGTTTGTGCAACGCATATATTTTCCTTCCAGCCACGCCATGGTGCTCTCCGTGGGTCTTGTTCTGCTTCTTGCAGTAACTTAAGTACACAGGGTAAGACGGACATATTCTTCACTGTTTATTCATTATATTCAACATAATGACTTATATCATATAGAATTACACGTATTACTCCAGTTTAGGTTAGGTATTAATCCTTAGTTTACGTTAACCAGGATTTATTGACGTGATGTGGATTTGACAGACTTTATCGCAACTGGAATCACCCTCACACAGAAATGTATCCTCTAGATCCTTCCCGACAGACCACAGTTTTTAAAGTTATTTTGTTTTCCACTCACTTTCTTACACAAGTAAGTGGGGTGAGTGGCAAAGTGCAAGGGTGTGCATGCGATCCACCCGGCCGAGAGAAGCGTCCTCAATGCAATGGAGCACAGCTGTCAATAAACCTAGACTAACATATAGTCTCGGAAATGAACATATTTACAGAAGCAAAATTATTCATATAAATATAATGAACAAGAGCCCAGAGACTTTCTTCATTTTCAGTATGAAACTGTGGAAATCTAGACTTGCCACCTATTCTAGACTTGCATGAGCTCTTTGGATATATTTGTTTCAGAGTCTGTATGACAAACTAGGAATAAACTATGACCAACGCCTTGTAAAACGACTGTTCCGCTCCCAGTATCTTCGCAGTCACAAGAATCTAGAAACGATTCCCGCGGAGCCGAAATGTTGAACGAAGTAAACCACTACATTATAGATGAAATGAAATAGAAATCCAAAATAAGAAATACACAAAACAGTTTCGCAAGAAGAAAAGTATTTGGCATCAGGACTTATTTCTAAATAACTGTTGGCGTGTTCAACACCTAACTGCCTGGAGCTGTCTGGAGTTGCCTGGAGCTGCCTGGAGCTGTCTGGAGCTGATGGGGGGTGCAGGACAGAGAGGCCCGTGATCTTCAGTGGGGCTAACACTCTCATAGTTACATGTTTTGTCAGTTATGGAGTATTACTGTATTTGTAACTCCGTAATAATGTGAGATAACTGGGACCCAAGTATTCCGTGGCTCGTAACTCTTTTAATTTTGAAATTATTCAATACAGGTTGTGAGATCTAACATGACAAGTCCAGTATATTTATGTTTTCGACTAAGACATTTTAAAAACATTTTTCGTCGTACAAAAGAAATGAATACAGTATTATGTCCAAGCTATCCATGAATTCACTAGGAGGGTGTCGTAGTGATGAAGATATATTGAATTATGTTGATAGAGCTAACGATTTGATAACTGTCATATTAATCAATAAAGTTTATTTTACCTTTTCTCATTCAGCTGTTGAATTTGTTGTTTGTATGTTGGCGTCTTTTTCTAGTGCTGAAAACCACAAATCATTCAAATTACGTTGTCTGCCTAAAAATTCACATTTTGCCATTATGCCAATCAAGTCAGTGTCAAGTTTCTACCTGGACAGTCAGCTGCATTCATTTTTATCTGAAGCTTCTTGTGCATCAGTCAGTGAATCATCTGCACATTGGCTGACTGTGCTCTTCAATGCTAAGCTATATTGCCTTAATGTGTTTATTTCAAATCCAAATATCCAGAGACCATATAATAGATCTATAAAAGTCCCAGTAATTAAAGGGTGAGCCTGAATAGGATACTGCGTATATTCCATGGTGTTTCCGCTGCACTCGCTGTATTTATTAGACACTCGGAGAATGACTATCGCTCTCAAATCACACAATTTCTTAATTGGTGTAAAATCAACTTCCTTAAATTAAATGATAAGAAAACGAAAGAGATGGTAATTAATTTTCGGAAAAGTAAAAGTGAGCTGTTGCCAATTGCCATTGATAACGAAACCATAGATAGAGTTGAGGAATATAGGTATCTTGGCATAGATTCTAAGCTCACCTGGAACAATAATACTGATTACATATACTAGAAAGGACTAAAGCGGCTATACTTTATACGTCGTCTTCGTTATTTTAAGATTGACACAACCATATTGTCGTTATTTTATAAGTCTTTTATTCAAAGTATTTAGTTTCCAATGTACATTGCTGGTACAGGGGCCTGTCTGTTCAAAATCGATGTAAACTTTCCAAAATTGTTAGCACAGCAAGTAAACTTTCTGGACTTAAAATGCAAGATATCGGCACTATTTACAAGCAGCAAATTGAAAAAAGCACGTTAAGTATTTTTAATGGCATCATGCTATTGTAGCTCGTCATGCAACTTTTTGATGCTTTGTTTCCACCCTTGTTATTGTTATGTCTTTATCTTATCTTGTATATAAACTGGTGTACCCCTTCATTCCCCAATATGCTTGAAAACGGTATAAGAATCTATACCGAAACGTCGCCATTCTTAAAATAAAGTCTTGTCACCCTCATTTTATAATACTTTTATCAATTGTTTCAAACTGTTATATTAATATACTTTTAGTGCTAATATTCCTCAGCAAAGATTTAATGTCGCCACTATATAGCTCTGAATCTTAAATATATTATTATTTATTCATCATTTATCTTTACCCCTCATTATAATTGGGTGTTGTTGCCAACTATTTTGTAATATTTGACATATGTATGGGTGTATTTGTGGTCTTATGTACATGTATCTTTTGTTGTATTGTATGTGTTTTCAATTTAACCGGGTAAAGCAAATTTCCTTCTAGATAATAAAGCATTATCTATTATCTTTCCCATTATTCAGTAGGGGAGATAACTGTAAAGAGGGTTAAGACAGTATTGGGGAAAAAGTGGAACCATTCAACAGATATTGCTTTCAAAACGACTGTTTTTTTCTTGTAAATGTTTCTGTATCAATATGACATTCTTTAATATGTTTATTCACTCTGTTTGCAATTACCCGTAAATTCACAAAACGCCTTACAAAATTTGTCACCACAGCATGGGGAGACACTGTCCATTTCTTGAAATGCCCCTGACCTTCACCTTGCCTGCAACAGCTAACCTCTGCTAACAGTTTCGTTTTCATTAATAACGTTTTTTGTTGTATCTCTAACTTTTACAAATTTAAATTAAAGAAACAAATTTGTAATTATAGTATTTGGTAAAGGGTTAAAAATAGCATAGCACATGCATTCCTTAAACATTTTTAAAACCACTGCAACATGTCATATTTGAGAATACACAATATCTATAAGGAAGTGGTCCAACATGCGTTATACTTGGGGCTTGAGGTTTGCTGAGGGTTAAGTCCCATTGATGTGCTGGCGGTGTCTGTCTCTGAGTGTGTGCTGTGTGTGAATCCCGGATGGTACTCCATCCCCATGATATTTGAATCTGTACACTACTGAGAAGGTGTAATCCTACACACAACACATGGTACATGCCATATTTGGTCTTCTCTTTCTAAAAATTACCGATATGATGTTAGGTGTTTATTTTTCCTTTGTTTAATGCTGAAAAGTGTGATATTTTGAGAGAAAATGTTTTACAGTCAAGGAAGTGTCTATGTGCCAGTCACCTGTAGACCGGCGTCGTATTGCAGGTGTATTTCTCATACATGTGTAGACACTGCTGCCATTATCGCAGTGTACCGTCCATTACAGGTTTTATGTCATGCGACATTATGTTCGAGTTCTACATACATGAGGTGGTAGTGTATGCAATGGTTTGGTCCACAATAATAGATATTAGAACCATTCCCATCATCATAATAATCTCTACAATCGTGATAACATTTAGAAATCCGCAAACTCCCTGTCCCCAAGACGCTTGCCATCACCCAGTCCGAGAGGCGTCTATCGCCGAACACAGTTTAATTTCCGTATTTCACTCTCTCATCCAAATTGTAACAGTTGTTGCTTTGCGCATAATTTAAGAAACGAAATCCCCCACCCGGAAGAGGTGATATTTCGCTTGATAAACAGAAAGTCGATGATAGTAAAAACTATCCGAAAGCAGACATCGGGCATCACATTATACGGAAGTACTCATTTATCTGAAATAAGCAACGTATCTATGTACCGTGCATCACTCAATAAAGGCAGTCTGTCCATGGTAAATGTTGGGGAATATGGTCAAACAATCAAACAATGTCTTCACAACATTGTCATTGCCGCTTATACATAACAAGCCGGCTGAGGGCATTTCACAGGCTTCAACAGGATCGTCATCGTATGTCTGGTTTGACATTTCGCTTACCGGCTTACTAAAACCTGGTAAACCCTGACATATGATTGGATAATATAATACAGGAACATTGATTGTAGCAATAGGACAATGGTGGTAATATTAACCTCTCAGTAACAGTAACCAAACCAATAACTAGGACAAGTGTAACATATGTTATATTTGGGATTACGCTTTCTTAGTAAAGTACAGATTCTAGCACTTTTTGGGTTGAGTCCCATCCGGGATTCGAACCCACACCCTCAGAGTCAGGCACCTAATAGAAGTACTGTTGAACAACGCATAACACTGTCTCTAACTACTCTCTTTTACTCTAACTGTATGTTTGAACGAAAACATATGACAATGCAATATAACATTTTTCGGCATATTTTACTTTCATGGTGAACAATTTAACTGCCATTACTAAACCGGACAACCTTGTAATCAGCGTTAAGTCTTAATCTGCTAGAGGAATGATAATCTTCCTGTGTCATTACAAACAATCAAACCAATGGCTGATAATACTGAAATATTTGCCAATGTGTAATCTATAATGTAATTCTTTATTTGGTCTAGTTTAATCTACAGTACACATATGAGGTCGTTCAAAAGCTTCAGTTATACCATAACGCGATGGAGGGTGTGGCATTGTAAATAAAACTAAATATGTTTAGCGAAAATATTTTTAACATTTAATCACAGACCATGTTTAAATGTTGAGGAATATCACATGGTATCTTACACGACGCTTCATCGTAAGACTAATTGATCCCATGAAAGGGGAAATTATCTTTTCAATTCAATTTTTTTCAAATTCAATTTTTATTCGCGGATGTCAAGGACCCACCAGTAGTGCTGGTAGCGTATAGTACTGATAGTTGTATGTCTTGCTATGTAGCATACATGGAAGGAATCACGGACTATGACGAGATCAATGGTTAACGTGTCTATTTCACTACTTTACAGCGGCAGTGTGACAAGGAGGTGTATAGTACTGATAGTTGTATGTCTTGCTATGTAACATACATGGAAGGAATCACGGACTATGACGAGATCAATGGTTAACGTGTCTATTTGACTACTTTACAGCGGCAGTGTGACAAGGAGGTGTATAGTACTGATAGTTGTATGTCTTGCTATGTAATATACATGGAAGGAATCGCGGACTATGACGAGATCAATGGTTAACGTGTCTATTTGACTACTTTACAGCGGCAGTGTGACAAGGAGGTGTATAGTACTGATAGTTGTATGGCTTGCTATGTAACACACATGGAAGGAATCACGGACTATGACGAGATCAATCGTTTACGTGTCTTTTTCACTACTTTACAGCGGCAGAGTGCAGGGACAGCCAGGAGTGTTCAGACTGCGACAAGAGAGGACATTGTACAACAGAATGTAACACTGGGTATTACGACCTGTTCTGTAAATCAAAATGTAGCAAAGCCTGCAAGAATAATAGATGTAAGGCGACAAGGATAGGCATTGGGGAATGCACTGACGGTTGTATCCATGGTTACGATGGAATAAACTGCAAAATTCAATGTAAGAGTTACTATGAATTAACTGAGGCCTACTGCCTGGATGCGTGCAGTCAACACTGTAAGTTTGTATCCAGCACCAATCACACGGCCAGATGTCTGTCCTATGGCGCCAGAGCCTCGGCGTTTTGTACATCTGAGTGTCACATGAAGAGTGGCGAGTGCCTCCATGGCTGTGTAGACGGTTGGTATGGTCTACGGTGCTCCTTTCCATGCAGTGCAGGTTGTAGTGGTGGACGCTGTGATGCTGTAGGTGACTGTGTGGATGGATGTAGATCTGGCTATTTCGGCAGAGACTGTGAGCCGTGTAAGACTGTAAGCCGCTGCAAGAACCAAACCTGTGGCCCACACAACGGTACCTGTGTGGATGGATGTAGACCTGGCTATTTCGGCAGAGACTGTGAGCCGTGTGACCGCTGCAAGAACCAAACCTGTGGCCCACAAAACGGTACCTGTGTCGAAGGATGTATACCTGGGTATTTTGGGGAGTTTTGTAATAATAGCTGTGAGGTTTGTCGTGATGGGATCTGTGATCAGAAGACCGGCGCGTGCGTCAACGGATGTGACGTCAGTGAAGGTGCCTGCGAACGTTCCTGTACCAGCAACTGTTCCATGGACTATTGTCTTGATGTACAGACATGCGATACAGGTACTGTAAAAACATTGTTAATACAAACGTTACCATATAGACTTAACTTATAGTAGGAATGTGTTACTTGCATTGAATTGACTCCTAACTAAGACATGCACAAGTTAATCCCACAATAAAGAGATCTACCCACCCACTCACCAGCCCGTTAATCCCACAACCAACAGATCTAGCCACCCATTCATTTGTTATATATAATTTTCACATCAGAATCCAAGGTGAATGGTATCAGTATCGGACTCCCAACAGGTTGTGTGGTGTTCCTTCTGGCTCTCCTGGTGTCCAACTACATCTGCTACAGAAAGGTCATGCTGCAAGAAGGTTGGTACTCATGTTATCCTGTCGTCATATCCGACCTGGTGTTTTACTCATTTATCAAGAACAATTAATGTGATGGAGTAAGATGTGAAAGTAGGTCCTTTTGAATTATGCCCCAACAGTTTTTATTCAGGGTGTACTACTTTGTTGAAGAGAATATATTTTTGTTATATTTGAACAAAATTATGGGAGAGTTGCAGATTGTTGCTGTCCCCATTTATACCTTAATCATTCATCTTACCAAATGTTGCCTGCGTCTATGGCCAGCCAGCGTCGTGCTACGTCGTGCTTCTCCACAGGAACGTTGACGGAAGTGATATTTACAAACCGGGTGGCGTCCGACTGCCAATAGGTCACTTGCAACCTCGTTGCTTAAATCAACCTTGTGAATACTCGACTATATTTTCAGGGACGTCCTTATATGAGTTGGAATGGTGCTGCTGTGATCAATACAAACGAAGCTATCCTCATCATACGGAGTCTCTTTTACAAATAACACGATCTTACATTTTACCCATCGAATCAGCATGATCTGTGTGATTGACAACAGGAGGAGGTGGAACTCTCGACTGGGTCACTTGGAAGATGTTTCCGCTCAAAGTGGAATACGCACTCTCTTACAAACGTAGTCTTCTCATTGTTCTTCTTTGGGTTTGTTTTGTACTTCCTTTTCTCTTCCTACAGGCAGATCACTGCAGCTGACCTGGAGCAGGCTCCTTCTGACGACTACCAGTTCTACTGTGAAATAGAAGAAGCCAACATGGGCGTCAGCCCACAGATACAACCTGTCAGCCATAGCCACCTTGAAGAAGAGCTGAATCTCGACATGCTGGTCATAGCGGATGTGTTCCCAGCAGCTCCGGCCATTGTACACAGAGATGGTGATACGTCACCAGCGAGTCCAGCCTCATCAACGTCCCAATCATACACCCACCTGATCCCCTGACGTCGTCACTGATGACCTGACACAAGGGGATGCTTACCTGTCCCCAGTGGAAGACGTGGTCCTACCGCCAGAATGACCTGACACCAGGTGATGCTTACCTGTCAAGGTAGAAGACGTGGTCCCTAACTCCAGAATGACCTGATTCTATGTTGTAAAGACAATTCTTAATTCAGAGCAGTATCACAATGACACTCAATGCCTTCCTGTAATGGGTGACTTTTCGCAATGTTGTCAGGCCAAGACCATTATATTTAAAAGTATACACGTTATACATGTTTAATGAGCTTACCAAGTAGTCAACCAATAGTCACCGTGTATATCTGTTGGTAGATTTACCGTTACCCCGGTATATAAAGCGGTCTGTAAACATTCAGGACCAGACAGTCCATCATTCCCTGCGATTGGGACAAGATTACAAGCGTCCACCAACACAGACGGCCTGACACCAGATCCTGTGAATTCCTCCACATAGACTCTTCCATGACAGTGAAGTAGTGCGGCGTAGACTGATCAACAACCACATTGGGTGAACAACCAACATGAGCGTGAAAGGAAGGACGGAAAGTAGTTCTTGGCAACTTCAAACTTTTTAGCGACGGTACCATAGGATTTTTAACATTTTTAACATCACCACATTCACCGATGACACATCTAACGTAATTATCTCTGCATTTTGTAAACTTCATTTCAATGCAGGAAATAAAGAATATCTGCATAAATACTTTACCTAATTCTTGCGTTACTTCATGCAGAGAATATCTGGATTTCTCGTCAGAACGGCTACGTGACGTTTAGGAAAGTAAACACACCGACACAACACAGATGGGCTGTCCTACCTAAGGTTCGTCGTTGCTGTCAAATGCTGTGACAACGCTGCTTACGTCCCTTTCGAGGAACATTTCAGTGTGTCAAAAACTCTGTTACAGTTCGTAAGCTGCAGAGATGAAATAAAGCTGTTAACCGCTGTATGTACATGTCAGACACTTCTTGAGAAAGTATAATGTTATACTGATCATATGGTCACTGCCCCAAGTGTAAAGTGATAGAGGTATTATCTGCCGTAGCTGTAGGTGACATGCAGCTGAAGTCGCAGCTGACAGGGTGAGTGAGTAAAGTTAACCTGAGATGTTGTGAAAGTATGAGGGGGATCGTACATATTAACCTCTTTGACGAAACCCACATGTACGGGAGTTGACGGCATTCAGTACATGTTTAGCTATATTTGTATTTTCAATTTAAAAACACCTTTACAATCGTCCCCGTGCATACAGTATGCCTATGTCAGGAAAGAAGCAATACGAAGGACATCGTGTCAATTATTATTAATTCTAATACCGAGGGGCCATTAACCGAGTTTTGAACACAAGCTAAGGGGGCGTTACTCTTCCTGCCTTGTATGAAACACTCGCCGACGCCAGCAGCGCACGCTATGCATCAGGCAACAGTTGCGGGGTTACAGCGCTGCTCACTTCCGTGTGTTCAAGTGTTCAGGTATACGCCATGTGGATAATACTATAGATAAACCTGGAGGGCATTAATAGCCATTCCTCTTACGAGTTCTCTAACTGCCGCCCCGACAGTGGAGGTGGATGTTGTGGGTCCATCTGCTGCTTAAAGGGGGGTATAATCGTGTTGCTCCATTCAGACGGTTGCTCCACCCCAAATTACCGTCCTAGTTTTTTTCTAACTGGTAGTTGAAACACTGTTATGGAGAAAAGAAATCCCATGTTAACGGGCTGATGTCACGTGTCCAGTTAGGTCAGCATTTGGTATCGCGCGTCATGTCCGCCATTAAAGAGGAGCGAGTCAGTAAGTCAAGATTTTTACGTCGCATCGGCCTTATTTCAAGCCATATGGCGACGAGACGACATTGACACATTACACAGGTCCATCACTGACACAAAGTCAAGCACTCAATAACAAGGTACCATGTACACACTCTAACATCTCAAATCATTTTGCAGTTTATATCGGTAACAACAAAACGTGGTGACGCTTGGTCTTGTGCATAGAGCTGAGTCACAAATCAGTTGACGTTAAGCAAGGTCGAGCACGGAGAGTCCTTGGATGGGTGACCATGTTTGGCAGCTTGCCTAGAGAGAGGAGTATCTAGGGCTTCAGTCCTGCCCACAACTAAGCACATGTGATGTGGGTTCTCACCTAAGGCAAGTGAAATAGCCTCTGTTCACCCAGCAGGAAATATGGGTACCAGGTGGGATAAGTCGTGTGACCGTAACCTGTGGTTCTAGTTCTACATGTTGTAACAGGTGACATATACTGTATCCTGATCTATTATACAATGTGTGGTACCAGACAAAGCTAGGTGCTGCTAGGGCGACATCGATCAGAGTTACCTGGACTGCCCAGTCGTCGCAAATAATGTCAACACAATCGTGCCGCCAGGTGATCTTTTATGACACGTCACGATCATGGGGCATCAGAATGGTTTCACACCTTGTACGTGTGTGGACTCGAACCTGTGTTTTAGAGTGACCTATCTATTGTTTTGAGGCAGCAGTGGAGAGATGGTCAAAAGCTAGAAGACTTTATCTAACACGTGACCTACATACGTCATCATGGTATTTCCACTGTAGCACGAAACAAAAGTTTTACCTTTCAGTTATGAATAGTATGTAGAAAAGAGACTTTTATAAATAGCAGTGCGATTTAGGTTTAGCGGTTATTGGAATCAGCGCATGCTAGCTGGTTGATTGGCTTGATGTTTTACGCCGCACTCAGCAATGTTCCAGCTGTTTGGCGGCGGTCTGTAAATAATCGAATCTGGATCAAACAATCCAGTGATCAACAGCAGGAGCATCGATCTGCGCTGATAACATGTTTATTTGGCTTTTAAAGTAGCATTATTAGGGATTTGGTGGTGGATACTTTTTGGGTACAAACCAGTGTTTGGTGCTGATAGACCAATGATTGTAAACGGTGAAATTTAGTATTCGTATCCATTTTCAGCAGATCCCGGACGGGAGGAAACACCTTTGACCACTGCCTTATGTGTTGTCCCCGTAAACAACGTGCGATTCCATACTGTCAGAAAAACCCATTAAGTAGTCAACGAGGAGCAGACAGGCCCAACCTGCCCACTGTCAGCAGTGGCATCAAGGAGAGAACATGTAACGGCTTTGTGTGATTTATGGTTTAACCGAACACCACCTCAACGGCGACGTGCATCTGTGCTGCTGCTGCTGCTGCGGCTGCTGTAACCAACATCACCATTACAGGGTCAGACATGTTTCACTGCAGGGTGCTACTATTTCCTCTGTAGCATCTGTGTTGAAAATGGCGGATGAAGGATGGCGCATTATCTAACCATTAAAGGGAACGGCTTAGATTTACGGCAGGCTGCCAATGGTTTGTTGTTTATTCACTCTTTGATTGACGAAATTAGGATTGTGTTAACGACACAAAGTGATAACGACATCCATCCAACCTGGGAAACCACGATTGGAAAATTGACATCCACCTCTTGCCATACAATGCGGTATACTGGGACGTAACTAAGTATTCATCTATGCGTTGGCAAAGTTTGATATGAACCGGACGGCACCAGGAGTTTTCTATAGGGGTCTTGGGACATGCTCCCACAAAATGCTTTTAAATATATCAGAAATCACTCTTTATACCACCCAATAGCACTTTGTCATTCTTAACACAATTTTGTAGAGGTAACTGCAATTTTGCCTACATGACAGTTACACGCCTGGTACAGAGGTTGTGATTGTGTTGATTTTCATGCATTGACCCAGCTAGTTAGGTTGGTAGGTTTCCCAGATACCCTTTCTGGCCGGACGTTGTAAAAGTAACATTCGAATCGGATGCAGATATCATCTGGTAGAGAGGTACAGTTATTATCAAGGTGGATACGTTCTAATGTTCTAATGTTCTATCACTACTACTACTACTACTACTACTACTACTACTACTACTACTACTACTACTACTACTGCTACTACCACTACTACTACTACTACTACTACTACTTCAACTACTAGCACCGCTAAATGACATCCGCATTAGGAACGATTACTAGAAGTAATTCTCTCTCTCACGCACACGCACACACACACACACTTATGTGTGATAGGTTGGGTGAGGAGGGGATCTGACGCTTACTTCCATATCCATCATTGCACGCTGATCTGATATATTTCTCACGCCCTACAAATCTCTCATGGCAATTCTGCGGTCTTCTCGGTCGATATTTCTTAAGCTGATATAGAAATACGGTTTGCCTAATGAAACGCGTCAATTTCCTTGTAGAAATGACGTTTTATTTGGTTTTCTTGCTATCTTTCACACTGGTCCGGACGATTAGTTGGCGATACTCAGAAATCTCAGAAATGATATGTTTGATGTTTTGTGAATACTAGTATAGGATGTTTAGCTGAGTTTGAAAAACTGAATTTAGGGACTGGTAAGCGATGTTTGATTTCGGGAAGCAAAACTGTTAAAGATCGTCAAAGGGTGAATATATACTGGAAAAATAGGTTATCCCAAAATATTGAAATAAGTACCGAGCTGTAGTCAGATATATAGTAACAGCAGCAGCAGCAGCAGCAGCAGCAGTAGTAGTAGTAGTAGTAGTAATAGTAATGAAATGGTACTGACTTTAGGTTTGTTTTTACGCCGCTTTTAGCAATATTCCAGCAACATCACGGCGGGGACACCAGAAATGGGCTTCACACACATTGTGCCCATGTAGGGATTCGAACCAGGGTCTTCGGCGTGACGAGCCAGCGCATTAACCATTAGGCTACCCACCGCCCCGTAGTAGTAGTAGTAGTAGTAGTTGTTGTAGTAGTAGCAGTTGTTGTTGTAGTAGTAGCAACCACAATAGAATGAAAGGAAGCAACAATGGCGGCTAGTGGAAGGGTAGAATTTAAGGAGCATCAGAAGTTGATATACACTCACGTGCAAAGAAACGTCCCAAAATTTAGTTTATATTATATTTTGCTGGCTATGGCCAAAACATGAAAAACAGTTCG